CCCCAAAACCCCAAAACCCCAAAACCCCACGAGATAATCGAATTCTATGAAATTAAGGAAGTTGAATTAAAATTTAATTTTTGTTAAATGTCTGTTGAGAGAGTGCCCAAAGAACTACTTAGAAAGAAATCTTACTTAGAAGTCATCTTCAAATCTTCGAAGAGTTCTGAAGAACTGAACTTAAGTTGCACGTATAATATTTACCAATTAAACTTACAGAAATCTTTGTGATTTGAATGAAGTCTTACCACTCTTAGTAAAGTTTCCCAATCTTTTATCTGTAATTAACCCTTAATTCTCACTTCAAGAAGGCTAATCTAAATATAGATTAATCTGGAGAACAATCTCATGGTTGAACTGCCAATGTAGCTTAAGAACTATATAATATATGTCAAAGAGTTGAATATCAACAACAATCCTTTCAAAGATGTAAGTTAAACATACTTTGCATTTACTCATTTTTTTCTTATCTTATTTAGATAAACCAAGTAATTAATGCGCTTAAAAATTTGCCAAATCTAATCTCTCTCTACATGAGCTTATATGAAGAGGATACAGTTCATGCTGTGATAACACAGTTGACTTAATTACAATTTCTGAATGGCATTGAAATTTCTAGAAAAGAGGTGCTTAACACCCAATTTAGCAACGATCAATGCATTACATAACCAAATGAAGAAGACGAACAGCTAAAATAGAATTAATGTGATTCACCAACCACTCAAAGTAATAGAAGACATACTTCTAGCCATAAAGTTATTAAGGAAGAAGACCTGCCTTTGGAATTGATTAAAGAAACAGATGAGGATGATAACTAAAGCTTCACATAAAATTAGCCTCATAACCTCACAAGAGACTAGGATATCGCTGTTGTGGGGGCAACAAGATTAAGCGATATTACAGGTGCTTAATCAAATATTAGTAGTTTTAAAAACAGTCCAGTAAAAAGTGCTAAAAATAACTTTTAAAAACCCCTTCAATTAAATACCAGCAGTGCCCAATCATCATAGTCTTAAATTAATGGGGAAGCAAAAATGAATTAAGGATTAAATTCTAAGGACTCTTAAGTTCAAAATAAACAGCCACAGGACTTATTTTCAACTTCAGATCTAGAAAAAATATCTTAATACTTTGAGAATATTGGTGGATTTATTATTCGTGCAGGGTATGATACTAATAATCAGACAAGAATGGATTTTAACAGATAAATGGAGCAACTAGTAAATCAACTTAAGGAATTCTCAGTCAAATAAATCCCTGAATAATATAAGCAAGCATAATATCTATAAGCTAAGAGCACACTGATTGAACTTTGCCTGAAAAAGCTCCATTAATATCTCTTACTCACTGGAAATCCTATCTAGGGAATATTTCAGGGTCTTCTTGGCTAATCCACTCTTTTGGTACAGCAACTCTTTTATTTGATTAACTAAAGTGAACTTAAAAGGTAGTAATAGGTAGAGGGTTTGAGTTAAGATCTTTAGAATTTGAAATACTATATCAATGAAGAAAAAGAGCAGTTGGATACAAAACTTGCAAATTTAGTAGCTGAAAATGAACGACTTAAGCAAATTATGAATATCAACACTATTCATAGCTTTCATGATACTATAATTCCGAGAGAGATAAATTCTAGCATGAGCAGTAACGGCCTAAGATCGCCGAATTTCAATTAGAAATAAATCAACATCAGCTTTATTAATACTCCATAATCAATAGATCAAGTGTAAGTTATTTATAATAAACAATTATTATAGGTCTGTTTCAAATTTCTAATCTCCTCCTAATGAAATTCTAGGAGGCAGCAAAAAAATGTCAGCATAAGGCTACAGCAATAAGAAAATGCATATCAAGAATAAAAGCTTTGATTTTACAAAGCAATTTACAGTTATGAAAAATTACTCCACAGCTCAGAACAAATTAACTCCCCAAATTCCCTCAGGCTTTGCCTCTCCGAAGTCTACCTTCCATAGAAAGTAGCAATCATATGAAAAATAATTGTATGAAGCTAGCGATATCAACCTCCACACAAAAAAGAAAATAACCAAGCTAAATGAGAGTATTGTATCGAAACAAAACGAGCCTAAGGCTCTAGGTATAAGGTAAACTAAGGAAATAATTACAGAGGTGTTCAATACTAAAATCGTTTATGATTAGAAGTGTAGAGAACTTTAGATGCCAATTGAAACTATGGAATAATATCTGTATACATTTCTCTCTAAAAAATATGGCTTAAAAGTAAGTTGTAATTATTCCTGAAAAATTCATATAGAACATTATTGTTTAGCAAGCAGCATCAATTATTAACAGTATTAAAATATATTTGAAACAGGACGCGGATGTTGGGCTTTTTGCAAAATGCTTGAAGAATGAATGTGATTAAGAATTCAGATAGGTTTAGGACTTTGTGAAAGATCAGATATCTTATGCATTAAAATAGGTGGTGAGAGATAAATACAATTAAAAGGCAGAAAGTGAAATCAATAACATTCTTGATAATGTAAAGTAAAACACAAATTCAATGGACAAGTGGATGTGGTAAAAAACTTTGGCCAAGCTTTATAGTTCGGAGGAAAAGGACAAATTAGAGCAAAAGATAAACGAGTTAATATAACAATAGGTCTTAAAAGAGTAAGAGGGAGGTAATTTTGAGTAGACAACTGAATAGAATTTGAACTAGTCAACTATTGTATTCTCCCCATCTAAAAATTCCTTCCATAGATCAACGAGCGCTAAAAAATAAACAGCCTCAAGCAGAAAGTCTCTGAATACTTCTACTCTCAATGGCAAGAGATTTACAGATGTAAATTAAAGTGTTAATCTAAATGGGAGCTCCGTACATTAAAGTTAAAAGTTTTCTGCAAATAGAATATCTTATGCTGATTTTACCAATGTAAAAATTAATCCATCATATCAGTATAGATCGTACTTGAAACCTAGTTAAAGCAACATGAGCTATACTTGAAGCCATTTAATGAGCTATTCAAAGATATTGACAGTGATAATAATGGAATATTAAGTCACGAGGAGTTCAAAAAATTATGCTAGATAATGGAAATAAGAAACAGGTCTACTCATTCTTGTAACATCCTAAATGACAAATCTGTCCTTCAACTGATAAAAACAATAGATCCTTGTGGACATAAGTAAATGACATATGGCTAAATCTTATATGCTCTAGCAAATGTAAAATATATTTTTTCAATCATCATTAGTCTTATCCAACTGAGAAAGCTATGCCAATATAGAATTTGCAATCCTTAAGTCATGATGAGTGCAGCAAGCAAGGCCATATTGATACTAAGACAAACCTGTTACAGATATATCTGCAGTAGTTCTCGCATAAATAAAACACTAGTGCCACTTTGACATAAAATGATATGACTATTTGAATCAGTGAATTTTGTGTATTAATCATTCTATTACTCATATTCTTAGCTTTGGGGTTTTGGGGTTTTGGGGTTTTGGGGTTTTGGGG